TTTTCCAGCCTGCTACAGCCACTGCGAATAAGGCGCGCTGCGATAGGTGATCATCGGACATACGCAAGAAGTGTCCTAACCAACGGAGCCTCCTGAGCTGAATTCGATGCGATAGCGAGTTTTTGTTCGGTGCATTCCCAAATACCCGACGACTTACTTCTAAGTTACTAACCCGTTCACTCCATCCCAATTGAGACAGACTACGTAGGCATCGATTGTCGAAAACCACTAGGCGACGGATGTCTTCTACTCGCAAATTCAATGTCTCACAACCGTATAGCAGAATTGATCGCACCGTGGCACAGTATACGCCACTTTTCAACTTCAATGAAACATCACGTCTTCGCCACAGGTGTTTCAGTTATGCGTACGCTGCTCGAGCCTTGGAAATGCGAACGGTTATCTTCTTTGATGCGCTACCGTCGTTTGTCACGCAGCTACTTAAGTACGAGAAGCAGTCAACTACAGGTAATTCCCGACCGAGCAGAACTTGACAGCACCCAGTCTTGTAGCATCACTTTGCACTTTGAAGGTGTAAAGCGCATGCCGGAAGGAGATACAGAACTTGCTAGTCTGTCAAGAGCGTATTGTGCATCCTCCATACATTCGAACAGGTATACGATGTCATTTGCGTACTGTAAATCGCACAGCTTTTCTCCAGCTGCCCATTCAATGCCTACGTTTTGGAGACCAGCAAGTGCGTTCTCCAGTACTTCATCTACGACGAAATTGAACGAGAATGGCGAAAGAGAGCACCACTGCTAGTTACGAACGACCTACTCAGCTCGCTACCAGAAGTATACGAGTAAAGTGAACTCAGTATGTTCACGTACTTCTGCGGCATTCCCTTGTGAACGAGCGAACCCATAAGGGACTCACAGTCAACTGAGTCGAAGGCTCCTTTTAGGTCAAAGAGCACGACAACCGTTGGTAGACGGTGCGTATGGCGTACCTCGGGAGCTCGACGCAGGTTGAAGATTTGATCGATACAACCGCGGCTTGGTCGAAATCCTGCTTGTTGTTCGCGGATGTTTGTCTACCTGAACGGTGTCAGACGTCGAAGTATGATGTAGGCTAGTAACTTGGTTACGATTGGGATCAAACTTATTCCACGTTGGTTTGCGTAGTCGATGCGTGATCTCTTTTTAAAAATTGGAACAATCAGTGATTCTCCAGGATGATAGAATGCGCTCGTGTGACCGGATGTCACGCATTATATCAGTAAAGGTCTCTACCAGGTCATCGCCCCCATCTTGAAAAGAGTGGGAGGAGGCCCGTCCGGTCCTGCTGCTTTTCCTTTCTTCAGCCCTTGGATGCAAGAACAAAGTTCTGCTGCAGCAGGAGGTTCAGATGAAACTGCCCACGGAACCTCAGCTACACCGGAGGAGATAGTCCGGTTAGCGCCTGGCCAGCTGAACTGTTCATTGAAATACTCCGCCCACCGGTCAAGCCATTGTTCCCTGTTGTAAATAGCCTGCTCACTTTTGTTGCAGATTGTTTCACTAACTGGTTCGCCGACCTCCCGTATTGCGTATCAGTTGGAACAGTCTTTGACTATTCCCTGATGCAACTGCTATTTTCATTTCATTAGCTATTTTTGCCCACCAGTTCGCATGGTCTTTCTTGAGACTCTTCTTGAGTTGACATTGCAGACGCCTCCTAACCCTGTTTTGATCTTGGCAGGTCGGGATTTGCCGCTTTTTCTCAATCAGTGCTACTGACTGATCAGATATCCAATGCCTCGGTTAAGCTACCGCTTCAGATCCACAAGCAACCTTCGCTGCGAAGTGTCCAGTCCTTCTTCTCAATCCCGAATATTCCCAGGTGCCTCCTGTTTGCGACACTCATCGCATATCACTCAGCGTTCAACTAATAAGGTCAACCACTCAGAGGCTACCAGCTTTTTGAAACCAAAATCCCCATTTCACTTAGCCGTACTCAGTATCCTCACACTACCAGATCGGTCAACAAGCCGCCTTAGCTAGAACCCTTGAAACCTTCCATGTGGACATATGCTGTGTCTCTGAAACACGCATACAAGACCCTACCTCAGTCATCTCCCTTCGTTTTTCCAGATCCAGCCTCATCCTCACGCTTCACTCTCCGTGTGTCAGGCGATTCGGTATCCGAAGCTCGCAGTGTTGTTGGTGCCGGGATTGCG